TTTTATAACAGGAATATAAAAACAATTTATCAAATTTATTCTATAATTTTTCTGTGTATGGTATATCTTAAAACATTCAATACACAATGAAACATTACAATCTGGACAGTAGTATCTAGTCTCTTTCTGAATTCTTTTTTGTATTATTGTCTTTCTTTGAACAACACATTTTACACTGTCAGGTTGGACTTCATTATTTCTGTGGGTGGTACAATTTCAATAAAATGTCTACCCACTAAACATGATAGTGAAGACTTCGATGATGGATGTCCTGGTTGGTGTTTTGCTACCCATATTTTTCAATTATTTGGTCTAAATTAATCTAAATTGTAAATGACTTCTTAAATCCCCTTGTTTTGAATAAATAACAAACGTGTTCCATATTGTTTAGTCTAGGAGGTGCATAAATATTTAATGATAATATGTTATTCCTCACTTTTTGCTTACAGGATAGCTTGTTAGATATTGGTCAATTCTGTCAACACCATCCACAGAATTATTATAATCATTGACCACTACTACATTTTTTTGTTTCATTTCTTCTTTCAAGTTCTATCATTTCTATATTATGAACAGCTGACAGTAAGGAGACATCTTTTTTGTCTTTCCACCTTTAACACAAAGTTTTCCTCTCGGATATGCTAATATTTCTCCCTTTTTCAGTTTTTCTTTTCCAGGTCCTTCCTTCCTATTCAGTCTCACTGTTCCAAATGTGTCCATTTTGTATTGTAAAAGAGTATCACTGAGTTTTGGAGTATAAAAATTATATCTAATGTATTTAGAATAAGAATTTTTATAGATTGTAGCATAAAATTATAGGTTATTGTCCCCAAATAAAATAAATACGAATTAGTAAGAGAAAATAATCAGAACTTAGATTTCACTAGAAACAAACATCAAAGGCAAATACAACATTCTAAATAAAAAAGTATGCAAAAAACAGTCGCTATAAAATAAATAAACAGATGAACAAGTGTATCGCCTGCAAACAAGAATCAATTGGTTGAAATGACACCTGCCCAGCAGACACTTAGGATAGTCAGTATATAAACAAATGTGCTGCCTGAGAAACTCTCAGGATAAATTGTTAAGTGGTTAAAGATAACGGTGAGTCTATGTGCATAAGCTGCTGTGTAAATATCTGGAGCCATCACAGATTGGACACTGGTGAGTCTGTGTAGGTGGGCATTTATTTAGTTTACCTGTGTACATGTTTGAAATTTCCCACTAAGAAAAATAAAATAAAAAAGCATGAGACAGGCTGGTTTTGAAAGTGCTGTGGCCCCACAGAGAGAACTGGTAGTAGTGACAAGGACAGTTTACAGTGGAGAGCCTGTAGGCAGCAGCTTCAAGAAAGAATAGTAGGGAGGGATGCGGAGTGACTTGAGTGCAACCTACTCCAATTCCAAGGAATTTTGCAGGAAATAGGAAGAAAGACATGGTGAGCAGCTACAGAGACATCCAGGGGCCAAGAGCACTGGCTGACTTGCTAGTTGAGGGTGGAACGATTACAGCTGTATTTCTGACCACTCTGCTTCCCACATCTCTGGACAGTGCTCCCTCGCACACACTGTCCACACCTCCTCTGCCCAATCCTCCCATCCATCCATCAAGGCCTTGCATCTCGTATCACCTCAAATGGACCAGATGTTTACAGGTTTTCTTACTACATTATCAAGAACATTTTTACAGGATAGTCTCAGTTGTGGTGTTCTACTGGGGTCTCTGTAGCCCTTATCTTCAATGTGTACCTGAGCACACTGTGTATTTATACTGAAGATCAAAACTACACAATGTTCCCCTGAAAGCTTTCACAAAGGCAGCAGAACTTCTACAGAAAAACTGTAAATTTTCTTCTACCTTTAGATCCTGGAAGATGGAATTCAGTAGTAGCAACCAGAACAGCATCTTTCACTTGTCTTTCCCACTTGAAAAGACAAGGCTAGAAGCACTGATTCACACTAAGGGATCATGTGCTGGAGTTTATTTTAAAAAGTAACTGACAAGCCTCAGTAGTTACCAAAGGATTTATTTCTCTTTGAAAACATCAGAAAATAGGTGGGAATGGGTAGGTTGGGAAAATGAGCCTTTTAGTTTAAGATATGACATGTTCAATGAAATTGCAGTAAAAAGTTAAGACAAGGTTAAAAACACTACTTCTCCTACACCTCGCTTGGAATGGATCACAGTGAAGAGACCAGGGCACCATTTTAATAATGTGCTCCCTACTGAGAAGTTTCCCTAAGAAGCACTCACTGTCAGTGTAAAAGGCAGGGACAAGACATTTCTCATCAGGACTAAATACAACATGTGTCAGAGATGACCTCTGAAAAATTCTTAAGAAACAAGAGGTATTATCAGTACTTCTATAACGGCGAGAAGGCTAGAGTGCCAAAAAAAAAAAAAAATTATGCTCATATGTGGCTAACCTGAGAGGGGAGAACAGCACAGGGCATCAGAATTTCTAACTGCGATCAAGTGCCCACTATTGCCATGCTCTGTGCTATGGCTCACAGAGATGACAGTCTCCATTATGTCTACAGCCCTTTGTTTCAAGGGGAGACCAAAGGAGCATATCATGAATGTCCACAAGAAGGCTTCCTTGATCCTGAGATGAAGGGAGGCTGGAGATTGCTGGCAGAAGTGCCCACAGCACCATGTGCAAAGGTCCCTGGATTTCCAGAGTGTGGTGCTCTGGAAACACAAGGAATCACACCACTATAGCACAGGCAGGCCCAGGAACCAAACCTAGACCCACAGGCCTGGCCACATCACCGAGGACTTTTCTGCCTATGCCAGGCAGCTCTTAATGGAAGGAATCATCAGAGCAGGTTTGAAGTTTTGAAAGATCACTCTGGTAGCTGTGAACTCAAGGAAAAACAGATTGGTACCATGGTCAAAACTGAAAACTGATGACTTTCTGTTGGTCTGATTTGTTTTTAAAGCCAAACTGTTTTTCTGTGTTTGGCTATGCTTGCTTCTGTACCTCAAACAGCTTAGAGTTTCCTATTTGGGTATTTTTAAAGATTCAGATAATTCCATTTTTCACCAATATATACCTTCATCACAAGGGCACAATGGTATCAACTCCTATGAGATAACTTACCATGGTTATGCAAATGACCTTTAGTTATGGAACAGAGAGAACTTTTGCTTCTTAAAGAGTTTCCACCCCCATCTCCCAATTATAAGCCCCTGACTGGAATTTCACCTATGGTGCTATGCTGTTCTGCTGATTCTCAATATTGATTCCTGAAAAGTATTTCTCCAATCTGAGGTGAAATGTAGAAGAAAAGCACAATTTAGTGAATGTTTTAAAATGTTTTTACCTAAGGCCTGTCCTTTCTTCTAAAATATGCCTTACTTCCTTTTTTTGGGTGTAAGATTCTCTTTATTAAATGATGTCAACATAACTTTTTGGGAAATGTCTTTCCATGGTAAAATAGTTGTCATTCTCAGATCTAAAACTAATGTTTGATTGTTTTTATCTTATTTGTGGTACTGGGGAATCAAACCCAGGGGCACTCTACCACTGAGCTACACCCCCAGCCCGTTTTATTGTTTATGTTAGGACAGGGTCTTACTAAGTTGCCCAAGTTGCCCAGGCTGACCTTGAACTCATGATTCTCCTTCCTGCCTTAGTCTCCAAAGTAGCTGGGATTACAGGTATGGGCCACCACACACAGCTTTATGTTCTGGAATACAAATCTAGAAGACTACGTGACCCCTGCTTGGAGTCCCCTCCACTACTCTTTGTTATCATGCACTGCGCTCACCTGGTATTAGCCAGGTGAGAGGAGGGACATGTTGCTGACAACAACCTGCCAAAGTGTCAGAGTTGACAGCTAACTATTCCACAATCAAGAAAATGTTGGCCTAGCGTGTAATTTAATCACTTATTGCTTCCTAATTATAGCTGTGGAATTTAGCATCTTAATGAGAATATCAAACTTCCCTTCATTGGTGGCTTAGTCACTCACATTTAAATAATATTAAATAAAGTTAAATAAGGTCCTCAAAAGGTATTTACTTTCCTGTCCAACTTCATCTCCTACTGGAAAGAGGTGGGTGAAACGTCTCACTCTATCAGCACCAAAGAAACCACTTCAATACTCTGGGGCTGCAGGTAGAAGTGGCCTCCACACACTGTCAGGAAGCACTTAAGAAAAAAGAGCACAAAAACCTATTTGGGTTTCAGATCACACATCTTAAAAATGCTCATGGCACCTATCCACATGCAGCCACTGGGTTTAGGACAATGATAGTTCCCGGTGAATATCCAGTTGTGGTACTGCACCTATTACTGTGAATACAGGAGATTTACAAAGTACTGTCTTTTACATAAGAATCATATTTGGACCTGGAAAGGTTCTTTTTGATCATCTAACCCAATCTTGCCATTCTGTAAACAGAATAAAAAGGGGAAGACTTTCTAGAGGGAAATAGCACCAATAGGAGGTGGGGCCTGGTTGTTTCTGGGTCTAATCCAGGGCTTTCTCCAGCACACGAGTTTTCCCTCTTTAGGAATATTTGGTTACTGATTTTCAAGGTCTTTTTGTGTGTGTGTGTGTGGGGGGGAACAGTAAGAACTATAAGCATAGTTCAAAATGGTAATCTCATTTGAAAATTTGAACGTGGCAAATTCTATATGTAAAAATGCACATTAACACAAAAACTTGGTAGTTCATTACTTTATCATTTCAGAATATTTACTGCTGATTAATCTAAAAAAATTAGATTGCTAATATGAGGCAGATGAATGGAAATATAAACATCATACAAAAACATACCTTCCCCCATTCCCCTTGGCTTCAAGAATAAAAGGTTCAAGTGAAACCTCTATGTCAATCAAATTTCTCAGCTGCTTAGAAAGAAAAACAAGGCTTTTCAAGTCTTTAAACTAATCTCTAGAATGTAATAAAATAGATGGGTTATATTGGGTGATGGCAGCAATAGAAGGAACACAAAAGCATCACCAATGAAACAAAGTAGACAAAGTCTGTTATTTTACATCAGTAGTTTATTACAATACACACTGACACACAATTAGAGAAGGAATGTTCTGACATTTTTTGAGCATTTCACGGAAAGCAAATGTAACCATCCAGGCAGTAGAGTCATCCACACCTTTTCCAAACATAAAGCAAAAGTTTTTACATGTGATCACTCAGGAAAGCAAAGTTTTATTCTTGTCTCAAAAACGTCACTCTCAGAACATAGCTACCATGAAGTGAGCTGACAAGGGAAGGGTTTTCTCCATGACAGACATCACAAGCCCAGTGCCTTGTCTTAATACTACAGGTGGCAGTATGTTTGGGGACTACATAGGATCTACTTATGAGGCTGACTACTGAATTTCACTGTAACTGAAAGGGAAGGATAAAGTTAAGAAAATTAAGCCCTGTTAAAAGAAATGAAGACAAGGAAAAAAATATCTGGATATTTTAAAATGAGATGCTCTTTTCACATAACTTATTTAAAAGGTTATAATTACCATAAACATTTTAACTTTTATTAAAGATCATTAGTGAAAACTTGCTTTTATATCTGCAGATGGGCCCTCTGACTCTACATAGGCTCAGAAGCAAGCAACATACTGGAGTTGTAAATTCTGGGGAAGCAGGCATCAGACTGCTCAGAGTTGCACAGGCATTTTTTTAGATCCACTTTGTAAAAGACACATGGAACCTTAAGACTTTTTCCTCTTTCAGTAGTCACTGTGGCAACAGGTGTCTGAATCCTTTAGTGCCCAAACATACTAAAGCACTCTAGAATAAAATATTAAAATGAAATTTGGGAAAATTCACTACATATTATGTAACTTGGGAACAACAAAGGAAAGAGCTCAAGCATAATTCTAATTATTTCATGTAGAAAAGCACTGCAGGAGAAAACTTTGTTTAAAAACATTAAAACTCGGGCGCATATAAATACATTTTTGGTTTAATCTGTGCTATGTCAAATAGAAATCCTGTCAGATATTCAGTTTACTAGGTAACTCATTTGGGTTTTCATTTCTGACCAGTAGAAGAATATACACTGTTGCATATATTTACATATATATGCATATATAAAAAATTCAGATCATGAAAACTTGTCTTAAATATACTTAAAACCTATACCTCTAAAAATAAATACATTAGTCTCTAACCAGTTAATTCTCAGAGTTCCTTCACAAACCATCAGAACATAATTTCTCAACAATGGCAGATGATCAATTTGCTGCCCTATAAACCCACTGTCTATTAGTAAACATTTTGAAATTTAGAAATATCAATGAAATAACATCTTTAGTCTAGAGTGTAGATAGAATATTGGCTTTGAATGTAAATATCTTGATTTTCTTGATGTTTACTTCCTACAAATGCCTGTTTCACCTCAGCATTTATCTAGCAGTGGGAGAACATTTTCTAGTGATAGCTTTCTATTCCATTGACATTACTTTCTAATCAAAAGAGTCACCTGGCACTTCCTTTGCTGTTTTGTTTGAGGGAACCAACACAACATCATCTGTATTTGATATTGCTCCCATAGATCACAGTGAGTTGTGTGTTTTAATGTAATTTACAATGTGCTGATACCACTGCGGTAAAGCAGAAATAGCTCTGGATTTTAAAAAAGAAAGCTCTCCCAAGAGAACAACGTATAAATGACCTGGTGGTTTATATCTAAGTTCCATGAAGTAACTCAAACCACTGCCAGAATGAACAAATTGGATAACTGATACTGTAGTTCAAACAATAGATGCGGACAAATAGTCAAAATATTTTTCAAAAAAACAATGCAATTCACAAAAATGGAGTTTTACCTTTTTCACTTTTCCAAAAAAACCTTCTTAAAATGATACAAATTAGACCAAGTTGTTTAATATAGTATAGTACTTAGCAAACTTGTCATTTGTTTTTTGAATATAGGAATTTTAGAAATGTGAGAAATCCATGATAAATGACAAAACTTTTGATGCCACTGCCTAAATTTTTAAAAGGAAAGATTGCCAAAGTTGAAACTCAACTTCTAAAAACGACAGTGTTTCATGTGCTCATAGTTCCAGATTATTAACTTTATAAATTAAATGTAAAGATTGTTCTAATATAAACAAGGCCTCTTTTTCATTGATTTCAATCTCATTTAAACTTTTGGACATTTCAATCTTCATATTCCACAAAGTAAGGCTGAGTTTCTCAGATATAAATAAAATGTTTAAATCTAAGAGGTACTGTAGCGCTGAGAAAACAAATGAATCAAATATATACAGGCTGGCTACAATACCTGTTTTAAAAAAATTCAAAATGTGTAAAGATGTCAAGCCACACTCATTTTTAAATTTCTCTGGCTGCAAAAATGGGGAAACAGCATTTTTTTCACTCATCTTTCCTCTTGACCCTGAAGTCAGAGGCAAGTGTTAGGTTGAAGGATGTGGCCTCTTGGGAGGTGGCGGTGGCATGAGCTCTGTGTCAGGGTCCAGGTGATGCTTTCGTTTCTGTCCTTGAGAAGCTGCAGTACATCTGTCGATGAACTCAAACAGCATCTCCTTTGTGACAGGATTTGAGATGCTATTGCACACAGCTGTGGATGAAGGCAGACATGTGAGAGTTAATTAGGGTGGCAAACTCACCACAGGCATATGAAAAAGGTTTCCATCCAAATAAGGTGAACATCCTTTTCAATGACTGGATGATATGACTAAACCAATCTCCCTTTCTTGACCCCCAAATAAGTGTGTTTCTAGTGACTACTCTTTACTGTAGTACTAACTTTAAACCAAAATTTTAAATATCTGGGATATAAGCATGTCTTCCTTATGGCTTTCTATCCCTCTAGCACAGTGCAATGCAATGTTGTCTATATTCTATTAAAGCCTCAATAGAAAAGTGCGCTACATGTTCTGTCAATCTCTTTCTCAGAAAGAAGTCCACTCTGAAACATGTAACATACCACTACCCACTATTCCTAGGGGATAGGAAGGTTCCAGTATAGCTAGAGGAATATATTATTTTATCCTAATATCTTACTTCAAGTAAAATTTTATAACAAAATTATGTAATAAAGCATCTTTTTTGGTATTTTTTTAATTCATTAAGTTTATTGGTACATTTTAGGTTTACAGTACAATGACATTCATCATTGGGAATTTGCACCTGTACATGATATATCTTGGTTCTTATTTTTTTCCCCATACCCCTCCCCTCCCTTTATCCCCTCCACCCCTCCCTATTTACAAAGACTTTATTTCTGTTTTTTCCTCTTCTCATATTTATTCCTTTGGGAGGGGTTGGGGAAAGGAAAGAAGAGAAACATCTTTTCTTGGGTGATCAAAATTCAGAACCAATCAATTTCATTTTATTTATTTATTTGGTTTTAGAAAAAAAAGATACTGGCTTAATCATTCCTTAATCATTCTGAAATGAACTCATTTCGTCTTAACATGGGGGCTTCTTCCAACATAAGCCCCTAAATGTATAATAGTAACATTAAAATTGTAAAACCCAGATTCATGATTTCTATATTTTCACAGGAACTTACCAAATCATCCATCGTGTGAACGAATACTTTAAAAGTATAAAATCCTCTTAACCTTTAACCTCAGTTTTTATCTTTTTTCAACTCCACTAAACACAATTCAGGGCAACAACTGTTACTACTACTAAGTGTACCTTATAAATTTCAGTTAATTTTTGTTCCTCATGAAAAAAACTTAACAATCTTGGGTTCCCAAAGTATTCAGATTGTACTCAAAGAACACACTACTGAATGATAGCATAATAGATTTTGTGTGTGTGTGTGTGTGTGTGTGTGTATTTTTAATGGTTTTTCATTTACTTTGTTCTCCACTGTTTGTAAAGCTATTTTACAAGCTGGAAATTACATTTTCCCCTGCTAAATTTGTTTTTTACCATCTGGCAAACAATGGTTTTTATAGTTTTAAATAGATGAAATTATCATGGCTTTTGCTATTGTTCAATAAATTCAACTTGTATACAACCCAGTGTCCTACCTTGTAAACTTCTCTTTTGGATGAATGACATAGCCCACAGGTATGAAGAGGGGAATTTAAAGCTGACTGGAGCCAAACAAGGCACAGATCTGACAGATATTTTTCTAGGCAAACAAGGGTAATGTCCAAATGACTCTAGGCCGCACCGTGCAGGACAGCACAGGTAGCATATCATATCTTGGTTCTAATATCGTAACTTTTGTTTTTTAAATGTAATAAGCGCCAGCAGATTGTCATACTCACCCATGGCGGTGTTGTAGGCATTAGGAAAACTTTTGTCTGTCCTCTGTCTCATGAAGATCCAGCTGTTGTTCTCAAATTTGCATTCTATAATTTTGTTGTCATACTGTTTTAGCTCTTTTGTCACCTGTTTTAAAAGAGAATTGAGGGAAATATTTAAACCATTTGAAAGGCTTTTTGCTGCCACTTTGACAGACACATTAGGAAATGCCAAAAACACCTGAGTAACTCTTCATGCAGAGTTCTTTGTCATCTGAAGTGTTAATCAAGCCTGAAGATATGGTGTGCACTCCCTTGTACACATGCTCATTTATCCGACATTTTATACACAGTCGTGAACACTGCTGTCAATATATAGCAATTAAAAGCTAAGCCGAAAGCAGCCACTTTGGGCCAAATGCAAATATGTTACCATGGGGACCAATGCTTTCAATATTGTCTGTGTCTCTATGGCTGTCAGAAATTGAGTGTACTGCTTAAGTTTCATGAACTTTCAGAAAGGCCTCACTATCTAAATTCCCATGTCAAACCCTAACCAATTTCTTTTATTGGCTAAAAGAAAAAGTTGCACATTAAAAAGTAAACACCAGGATCAAATTTGGGCCAATGTGCATCCTAAATATTTTGCTTTTCAAGCAGTGATAACCCAAAACCTAATTATTAGGCTGCTTACCTTTCCCACTTCTGAGCTAGTATGAATATAAAGATGAAGCTACCACTTTGACTTTAGCTGGTGAGTTTCATGGCTTCTTCACATCAGATGATTGAATATGGATTACAATTTACTGTATCAAATCTATAAGTATCCATAATAACTACAGAACCTTTTAAAAGATATTCCATTGGGCTGTGAGGATGGTTTTCATAAATGGAAGCCCTCAGCTTATCTTTGCAGTTTTCAAATCAAATGCCAGGCATGGTAATATTTTAATTCTGTCCCCTTCTTTCATAGCTAACAGCTTTTCCTCACAATATGGTAGACTGCAATCATTTAACTTCATTAGCATTATTTGAAATGCTCTCATATTTCTAACCACATATTCACTAACACCTAGGAATATGAAAGGAAGTAAAAATTTAAAAGACGTTTCAATTCACAAATTAGGCAATGCACATCTTCATAAAAACTTCCAAATTGTATTATGTTTCCTTTAATGAGTATTACATTTGATTGTACTATTTGCATTTTCAACAACTTAACAGGTCAAATATATTCAGTGGTTCTGGAACTAAGTGTGCCCTGAAAATGTGACATTCCACTTGGCAAAATTGCTAAATTTATTCTCAACTATACATTATTCTAGCCTTAACTCTCCTGCTTTGCTTATTAAGAGATTCATCTTTTTACTTTTGATTCATTATTTATATCCAAGTATTGGGCAACTCGTTCTACTAGGCAACTAACTATATTTGTGTTACACAATATGGAAGATTTAACAGGAATAAGTTTTTAAACCTCTCAAACTATCCATTTTCTAGCTACTAAAATGAAGAAAGGGGTTTTTAATTTCCTAAATCACTGGAAGGATAATAAAGTGCCTGGCATATAGTAGACAATGAGTAAAACTGGTAACTGAATATGAAAGTAGGTAAGCAAAGATTTCATTTTAGAAATGTGATAAAAGATTTACTATAGTAACAATTTTTAAGGGTACAGTTCAGTGTTAATTATATTCACATTGTCGTGCAACAAATCTCTAGGACTTTTTCATCTGCAACACTACAACTCTATACCTACTAAGCACTAATTCTCCCCTCTATCCAAACTGTGGTAATCACCTTTCTATTTACTACTTTAGATACTTCAAATGAGTACAATCATACAGAATTTTCCCTTTTGTGACAGGTCTATTTCACTTAGTATGTCTTCAAGGTTTATTCATATTGTAAGATATGGCAGGGGTTCTTTTCAAAGGCTACATGGTATTCCAGCACATGTACACACCACATTTTCTTTAACCATTCTTCTGTCATTGGACATTTGGGTTGCTTCTACCTCTTGGCTATTGTGGCTAATGCTATGATGAATGTGGGTGTGTAAATATCTCTGTGAGATCCTCATTTTAATTCTTTTGGATTTATATTCACATATGGGATTGCAGACTCACACTAATTCAACTTCTAATTTTTTGAGAAACTTCCACGTTTCCAAAGTGGCATCACCATTTTACATTCCCACCACCAGTGCACAAAGGATTGCAACTTTTCTGCTTCCTCACCAATATTTGTTATTCTCTTTTCCTTGATAATGGACATCCTGATGGATGTCAGGTGATACCTCATTGTGGCTCTGATCACCATTTCCCTAATTACTGCTGACATTAAGCATCTTTTCATGTGCTTATTAGTGGTATATTTTCTATATCTTCTTTGGAGAAATGTCTACTCAAATACCATGCTCTTATTTTAATCAAAATTTTTTGGTGGTGAGTTATAGAGGTTTGTTAAATATTCTGAATGCTCACACCTTGACATATGATTTGCAATTATTTTTTTTCCATTCCATAGGCTGGTTTTTATTCTTGTTTCTTTTGACAAGCAGAAGTTTTGAAGTTTGATGCAGCCCCTTTTGTCAATCTAGTCTTGTTGTCTTTAGTGTCACACTAAAGAAATTACTGCCAAGTCTTATGTCCAAAACAGTTTCCCAATGCTTTTACCTTCATAGGAGTTTAGTAGTCTACAGTCTTACGTTTCAGTTTTCAACAAATATCTACAGTTTATTTTTTATATGGATAAACTCAGGTTCCAACTTTATTTTGTTGCATATGAACATCTAGTTTTCCTACCACCATTTACTGAAGGAGCCTATCCTTCTTCACTGTATAGTCTTGGTACTCTTGTGGAAAATTAATATATGCAAAAATTTATCTCTTGTCTCTCTATTCTGGTCTAATGATCCATCAATCTTCCTGCCAGTAGTTAATTATGCTGAGTTACTGTTGCTTCATAGTATGTTTTGAAATCAGCGGAAGTATTAGACTGCCAATATTGTTCTTTCTCTACTATTGGCGTCCCTTGAGATTCCATATGCATTCTAGGACCTTTTCTATTTCTGCAAAAAAATACCACTGGGGTCAGGCATGGTGGCTCATGCCTGTAATCCCGGCACTCAAGAGGCTGAGGCAGGAAGGGCTGCTGCAGGTTCAAGGCCAGTCTGGGTTACACAGTGAGTTCAACGGCAGCCTGAACTACATATAGTGACATCCTGTCTCAAGAAAACAAAGCAAAACAAAACAAAACAACAGAAAAAGACCCCCAAAACACTGGGATGGATTCTGATAGAGATTACACTGGATCTACAAATTGCTTTAGGAGATGTAGATAGTTTAACAATATTAAGTTTTCTAATTCATGATCATCAAATGTCTTTTCACTTACTGTATTTTCTTTTAGCAAGAAATAGTGCTTTGTTGTTTATAAAAGCAACTTCAGAAGTAAATTCACTCAAGAAACCATGCTATTGTGAAAAGGTACACTTTGAAAACAGCTGTCAGAAAAATTATATATGCACTGCACAAAAATGGAGCTTACTAGTAAGTCTGTACTCACTGTGCAGTCTGGACTTTTACGGGCTAGCAAATGTGGTTAAGTCTTTATCATATATTTTATCATTTATGTGTTCTCAGTTTCAGAATTGCTATAAATTATGTGTTGCTCCATCTGACTACAGCAATTAAGCAGTATTATTAACTATCTGTGTATCTGCGTGGCCAAGCACTAACAATTTGGGAAATAGAGCTTTCCAGAAAATGCATGCACCTGCCACTACTAACTTAACTGCATTTCTGTGTTCAATAACAATATATCATTCTTCACTGATCGCACGAGTTATATTCCCAAGATAGACACACTGTGAAGTGCTCATTTGGTTAGATGGTAAAATATATTTAACTGATAAAAATAGTATTTCCCATATATACACAAAATAAGACAGTTTTCAGTAATGGTCAGATGAAGGCAATGATTGGCATATGGGGAGGAATTTAATTTTAGTGATCATATTTTTAATTTGTTACTATAATAATACTCATCCTCAGCCAATTACATACTGTTATTTACTAAAAAAAGACCCATTACGCCTTCTATAATCAACTCTCTTCACCTAGTTTGGGTTAAAGAAAGCTTGAAAGTAAAAATAGTCAAATATCTATAAATCAGAATTTCACATCTGTACACATAATTACATTAGATTAATAATGCTGTATTGGCTACTGAGGTCGCGAGTCTGCGAGTCACACAGAACATGCCGAATCAGCCTGTGGCCCAGCAACAATCAACTGGAAATCTGGCCCCCCGCCTCCTCTGTACAGCCACCTGGTTCCACACTACAAAGACTCAGGAGGACACCAGACCATCAGACCATGGCACTCAGTCCCGCCACTCCCGGCCCAGAGGTAGGGGCTTCTGAGCCACCGTCCCACTGCTCCTGGTCCAGAGGAAGGGGATTCCCGGCCACGATCCCTCCTGCTGCTCCCAGCCCAGAGGAAAGGGCTTTTGGGCCACATTCTGTCCCGTCACTCCTGGCCCAGAGGAAGGGGCTTCCGGGCCACCATCCCTCCCGCCGCTCCCAGCCCAGAGGTAGATGCTTCTGAGCTGCCCTCCCACTGCTCCTGGTCCAGAGGAAGGGGCTTCAAGGCCACCATCCCTCCCACTGCTCCCAGCCCAGAGAAAGGCTTTTGGGGCCACCATTCCTACCTCTGTTCCCGGTCCCTGTCCCACCTCTCCCACCTCAGAGGAGGTAATCCGTGCAGGCACCAACAGGACCCATCCCCCAGTCAAAATGAGAAAACACGTAAATAAGCCTCAAAACCAGACTTCCAGATCACCTACAGCAACCCCAAAGGGAAATGAGATGGAACACTCT